ACCTAGAAGAGAGAGTTTTCAAAAACCAATATTTTCCCAAAATAGGATGAATATGGTTAGGCCCCCTAGCTATTATCAACCTAGGCACATGTTCAACCCAAACGTAGTATGCCACTATTGCAATAGGGTAGGACATAAAGCTCCCGTGTGTTTCACCAGACATAGGCACTTCACCTACAATGAAACACACAACGTATTTGGTGCTAATGAAAAGAAATCCTTTGGAAAAGGATATTCAAATCATAAACAATCTCCACAGGACAATGCACAAAAGAAACCTTATTATTTCTTCTACTTTGACGAAAAGAAGAATGTCCACATTCCGTTACCGGAACCGACACAAATCACACCGAGATATCGGCACTCCATTCAGGTAGATTGGAACCCGCCAACCACGGGACGATGGGTTGGCCAAGGTAACTCCTAAACAATCATTTAATCGTGTATGTGTGTGTGCGCATATGTAAACATATTTTGGGTGTGTGTGTGGGCAATAAAGGTAAACTAACCCCCAAGGACCCATAGACTTACTTTGGGTACCAAAGTGCTGTTCTTTTTTGCAGGGACGGTCCAAAGTGAAGAATTCCGGAAGTCAGGGGGAACCAGCGATGGGTGGGTTATACCATCGCTGGGAGGGAAGCTTCTTGCTTTCAAAACCCCTCTTCCCATCGATGTGAACTTCCTCCCATCGATGGGTTATTGACTCTATTTTTTTTAAAAAAATGGTTAACAGATTTCCAGAACACCTTTACCCATCGATGGGTAGTTTATCCCATCGCTGGGTGAGTGTTTGCTTTTGTTTCAGAACCTCCCAACCCATCGATGGGAAGTTCCCCCCATCGCTGGGTGCTTGACACTATTTTTTTAAATTTTTTAACAGATTTTCAAAACTACCAAACCAGCGATTGGATGGTATTAACATCGCTGGGGAGGCTTTGCTCTTTTCTTCGTCAATTTCCAGAAGCCACCTTCCCATCGATGGGAAAATCCAAACATCGCTGGGAAGGCAGCCTTGGGTCCTTCCTCGCTTTCCAGTGGCGACCTTCCCATCGATGGGTAGATCCTACCATCGCTGGGAAGGCACCTGCATTTCAAAAATTCAGAGCCGTTGGGCACCACATTAATTTCCCAACAGCTATATTTTTGAATCCAAACGGCCTAATCTCCCATTCGCTATATATATCCTTCATATTTGCTCATTCTAATACACCATTAACATCATAATTTCATTCCTTGATCCAAATCTCAATATTTCTTCAATCTTTCTTCAAAAACGCCTCAATCATGGCCGGAGGAAGATCAAAGTCTAAAGCTTCCAAGAAGAATAGCACCGCCGAACCCTCAAGTTCCGCCCCTCCTCCGTTCCCATATTTGGACAGATCATTTTTTGAGTTCGGGTCGGAGGAAGAACTAACACGCTTCCTCACTCACTTTGCCAAGCGCCGGATCTCTCCACCTCGCGTGCTCCCGGAGTTGTTTCCCCAAGACAAAGGGTACCACGACCTCGACAACCAACTCCAAGCGTCGGGTTTATGGCCATTTGTCTCCAAGAGCCGTCGAGCTTCAATCCCGCCTTCGTCCGGGCTTTCTACTCCAATCTCCGCCGTGACGGGGACACCATTCGCAGTAGCATCAATCTCTACGACATAGAGATTGATTTGCCTACCTTTGCTCGGGTCGCAGGGCTGCCCATCGGCGGTGACGACTTCGCAACCTATGGTGGCGACGATTGGATCCTCAACAACGAGGCGGTCGTCATTCGAGAGCTTGGGATCACCAACCTCATCCGCCACAGCGGTGCACCGACGATTCACTCGGCCCCACCGGACAAGCGCCTCCTCTTCTACATCATCACCCGGATTCTCCGCCCCCGGGAAAGCAGCCATACCTCGCTCTTCAACGAGGATTTGAAGGCGATTCATGCCATCATCCACGGCGCCTCCATCAATTGGGCGAAATTCGTGATGATCCACATGGCGGATTGCGCCTCCATCGCCACTGAGCGGAGCTTGCCATACGCCTTCCTCGTCATGGACCTCATCATCTCCGCCGACATCTCCATCGCCGGCCCGGATACAAAGATGACAAAGATTTGGATAATTCAAGACAACACCTTCCAGAAAAAGTCCGGAGACCGGGACGGCACAGGCCCAAGTCGTGCACCAGCCCCCGCTCCCGCCAAGGCCTCTTTGCAATCCATAGCCGATACTCTGAATCGGCTAACCCTCACAGTGGATGGCATGGGGCAGTAATTCGAGCGGATGGACTGGACGCTGCAACGCCAACACCACGACATGACGACGTTCTTCCGCGGCATCAACTACGTCCCGCCGCCCTTTGACAGCACTTTCCTCGGCCAAAACTATGAAGGCGAGGACGAGGAGGATAACTCCTATGCTCCATCCTCCTCCCCCGACGAGGCCGACTTTGAAGATGCAGTGACGGCGATCCCATGGACGTCGAGGACGACGAGGATGACGACGAGGACGCCGATGCTTAGACTTCTCTTTTCTCTTCTTCCTATGATTGTATTTCTTATTTTGTCCATTCCGTTGTATTCCGCATTTCCCTTTTTCATGAATAAAAAGCTTACTTTTACAATTCTAAAGTTACTTTTAATTCTTTTTGTTAATGTCAAAAGGGGGAAGATATTAAGGTTATGCATAAATTAAGGGGGAATTTTTTGTAAAATGGCATCTATTAAGGGGGAACATCTTTTTCAAAATAATCCTCCTATGCATAACCTCGTCTCGTCTCGTTTGCCATTATCAAAAAGGGGGAAATTGTTGAAACACGGGCTTGTCACGTTTTCGTACTCAAGCCGTGTTCGTTTTTGTAACAGGTTTTGATAATGCCAAACCGCCGTGATCAAGTCGAACATTGAATATACAAGGCGAAGAACGAAGATAAGAGCAAGAGCTAAACGAAGACCAAGAACGAAGACCTTAATCATAGTATTGAGTCGGTCTTTATTGTGATCAAGACCGACCCAATCTTTACACCTTGGCTCTTTATGCTAAAAACTCTCATTGCATTTCTTACATCATAAAAATGGTTTTAAACTTGTTTAAGTCATTAAAAACACTTGGTGTTCGCCCAAACCAAAAACCAAGCCATCTAGTGTTCGGCTTTCAGAAACCAGCGTTCGGCTTTCGGTTGTCGGGTTTGGTTTTTGGCATCCGAACCAACCAAGTGGTTTTCAGCATTTTATGATCTGCTTTCACTCTTTGGCATGTTTAAACGGTTCTCCAACAAAAACACTTTGAAAACCATCTCTCGCTTTTAGTCGTTTGACAAAAACCATGCAAAACGGCGTAAACTTGACTAGCCGTGGTTTTTACTCAAATGACGTGATTTTTAAAGTGTCTCACTTGATTTCTTAGCTAAATACATCAAATAAGTGTTTTAAACACTTGGTTTTTATTTTGGAGAACTTTGGATTTTTTGGTCGGTTTTTGCATCGGTTGGCTAGGCTGTGGTTAAGGCAAAAACCATAGGTTTTTGGCTAACCACCCACCCAGCGATGGGAAGAACATCCCATCGATGGGTAAGTAGCCCCTTAGCCAAACCAACTTCCAGAACCATGCCAAACAGCGATGGGAAGCTCTACCCATCGCTGTTCAAGCCTTGGTCCAATATTATCACAAGGCAGAATGCCCTTACCCAGCGATGGG